TGCTCGCACATACACGTCGTCGCATACATCCACAAGTACCGAGTCTAGTACGTTGGGTACATTTGTACACAAAATGGAAGAACCATTTACGTCATTGAGAAAAATCCGAAAATGTATTTAGATATTCCAAGACATTCTATGTTTATAATAAATATGTTGTGTGAAAAATGCATTTCAACAAGACTTGATGTATATCTCTTATACACTCTCTATTTATACACTTAAAAATATAGGTATATAATATCGATAAAAGTATAGCAAATATCTACACATCTCTCCGTCTGCTCGCGACTTGATCGCCGAGTGGCCGGTATTGTGACGTCATTAGCTGTTCTCTCGCAGCGTTGACCTTTTTAAGGGTCTTACAAATTCAGAATTAAATATATCACTTATTATTAATCCTATTGACCTAATTTTTTTAAGATATAATTAGGTGGTTAAATACTATCAGAAAATTAAAGAAAAAGTTTAAAATTAAATATCACTGAATGGGCCTATTTTCCACCAAGTCTCTTTTGAATTATCTATTTGACAACCAAATTCCAATAAAGTTTGTATTATAAATTCATTGAAAATTTGTAATGTAATGTAACATTTTGACGTTCTAGATTTGAGGGAATTAAGGCTTTTAAACTTAAATAATAACCGTATTTTAACAACTTGTCATGTTCTAATTTATGAAGTTGTTTTAATGAATTAAAATCGGCAATTTTTGAAATGCCACATTCGAAATCTGGATAATTAAATGTTTAATTGGGTTTTGCATTTAACCAATTGCATTTTATACTTTTTAGTAAATGAACCGTATCAAATGGATAAAAGAGGGGGCGAGTTTTGTCTACAGGATGTGAGTACACAATACTAAGTTTATTTGGAGTTACAAAATGACTCATTCATTTACTGTTTACCGCATTATTATTGGATATCACGCAAAAAACCTTAAACCCTATGTTTTCTAATTTAATTATAACTGTCTGAACTAAGGAGAAATTTTTGATACAGGACTTATGTGAATTATTTCTTTAAGGTTTGATTTAATACTTGTAAGCATAAATGCAAAAGCCGATTTTGTCAATAAATTATTATTACATGCTGTTCCTACTATATTTCCTGCTTTATAGTCTAAATATGGATTAATGTGAATTTCATCATTTCTTGCATACTCAAGAGATATTTCTTTTTCTTCGAAAGTTGGATCGGTTAATAATTGACTGCAAATAGATGTAATGGTTCTAGGATGGGGTAATATAACAATATTAGCACTTCTTAAAGAATTATAAGCGTGCGCACTAATGGTATGGAGTATTGAAGCTGCAATGAAGGTGTTATTAGAATATCGATATCTTTCTTTACGAGATATTAACAGTTTCAACTGTTCACAAATGAATGATAAGATTCCGTTTTTTTCAACATTTTCGCTTGCATACTCAATGAACTTCAATTAGCTAATTATATTTAAAGTATGATTTATTATATTTGAATTGACTTCATCAGAATGTATTTTGTCTTGCTCTTGGACTGATTGTTTGTCTATTTCTGTTAATTAAGTCTTTTATCTCATTTATATTACTTGAAGTAAATGGACTTTTCATATTTCGATTACAAGTTGATTTTACGAATACCGGAATTTCATGGCCATACAAATATGTTTCAACATTTAATTTATTATTAATTACAACAGAGTAACTAATAGTAGGGCCACGGGATTCTACTATTTTAAACAATGTAACTTTTTCACTATTAATAATTTTATTCCAATGATCGGTCAACTGAAACGAATTAAAAATTTTTTAAAAATCATCGTAACTCTCATAACACACTGATTTTTTAATGTCACATCACTAATGTTTTATTAAAAAGGGATACAATGACTGGCAATACAAATGTTCGACCTAAGTAAACACAGCGTGCGCCATACTGTCTTTACCTACCCCCAACCCTCAGTAGACCTAAGCGTGTATACATCATTACGAATCTCAAGGCAACCAGCCAGGCCTTCCTATCTTGGTAGTAACGCTTTACCTGGCCATGAAATTAAAATAGTGACTGACTTTTTTGCAATTTAAGTTAAAGCATATCATATTAATTTTGCACTTAATATTGGATCAAATAATTTCCCTTATTTAGCAAAATTATTTTACATACAACAGTTTACAAACTTGTATAACATTGACGTCTCACAATAACAAAAAATTACAACGTAACGTTCAAAAACTATATTTCTGAGAAGAGTATATCGAACTATATCTAAGTTTCTAAAATATAACAGAAATAAATAGAATATATTATTCTAGAAACGTCATGAAACAAATAAGTAAATAAATATATAACCAGGCGATTTTCGCTACACTGCCCATTTCTAATATGATTGTCTCGATTGGCAATCAGAGAACTCTTCAATGAATGCTCGCTTTTAGCTAAACGACTTTTCTCATTTTCTCTCGCGATCCTTTCTGGGTCCTGTAGTTCACGTCTTAAATGGTCTTGATTATCGCGTACGGGACATTTTCAGGAGTTCTGAAGTATACCAGATTTTCCTTTCTTCCCTACCGTCTTACTAGGTCTCCTACTTGGAACCCACAGGTGTTAACTGTGACATCCTACCGTGTTCAGCTGATTGCTTTCAGATTTCATTTTCTGTCGGACTTTGTCATGGAAGACATCGATTCTTTTGACTAACTCGGATGGGTAGTTTTCAGGTGTATCAATCGATCTTCTGGGTGACCAGATAACAACGTCGAAGAGTAGTGTCAATGATACTATGCTGACCCATGAATATGCTGGCTACTGTTCTTCCAGTAGTATAATGAGCTGTTGATGGATACGCCAATAAGAAAAGATGTAGGTCTATTTCATATTCATCATCTGGAAAACTCTTTGGAATATATTTGATTTAAATTTTCGCCCTTGTTCCGAATTCAGTTCTCCTAAAAAGCCGAATCTGCAGAAGATTTTTAAAGAGAATTTCTGTTATCATCACTGTCTCTTGATTTGGGATGGGATATACTTTTGGTCATTTACTGAAGTAGTCTATGACTGCCAGGAGGTACCTAGTCTTAGATTATGACTAGGAAAACGAGCCGGCGATGTGTACGACGACGTCTATGACAATTTTTTCAGTGTTGTAATGTTTCATCTGGTTTCGGCTTCTAGTTCCCTCGCTACTGGAATAACTAGCACGCCCGCGACACCAATCTTCTGCATCTGCTAGGCTGTCTAGCCAATAGAACCTTTCTCTAACTTTAATCAATCTTGTTTAGATCGAAGTGATCTCTACCCAATCCACCATGAATTTCTTTTAGCTATTCCCTGGAAGTACGACATGCTGAAACACTTCTTTGCTAACTAGACTTTCCCACTGCTTCTTCAGTAATCTATTATTCAGGACGAATAAGTTCCATATTGCCTAGTAACCTTTTAAAGATAATATTTTTTTTCTAATAATTGGTTTCATTGGTCTTCAACAAGTTTTCAGTTTTCCATTGTCACAATTGTTCTGTTCTTCAAAACGAACCGAAAAAAAACATTATTATTTAATCACCCTTATTACTTGTATATTCATTTTATATAAAATATGTAAGATGTTCTGCTAACCCATTTTTATATGTGGGGTATTGCGTGTTGCGGAATAATATGACTAATTTTGGGTGTACAAGTGGGAGGGGTTACTGTGACATCAGGAGAGAAGACGAAATGTGCGAGAGCGGCAGTGGTTGTTCTAGTAATCTATGGTTCTAGTCTGGAACAGTAAGGAGCAATTCACGAGACAAATATTAATATTAAAATTTTAGAGAGGTGTTTTCCACAACATTGTGCAAGTCTATTTTGTCCGGACGTCTAGTTTAGCGAATAAAGCTAGAAATGTTTTCACTATCTGCTAAAAATTACCTTCAGTAAATTGGTTCAAGAGCTTGGCGAACAACTTACCGACTACCAACAGAATTTACTAATATTTAAATAACTGATAAAAGTGGTGCGAGTAAAAATACAAATCGTTTTATTAAAAAAAATAGATCGAAGCCTTTCATTTTTCAGACTCTTTCGATTCAACATGTCTTTTTTCACCACAGTTCCAACATTCAAGTGCTTCTCGCTGAGTAAAAGTTTTGGTTGGTCCATCAATTAATTGACGTTTCACCTTGACTTTTCTATATATGCTGTTTATTTTACTTCTTATAGGATTTCCTGCTTTCGTGGTCTGTGGCGGTAGTGGTTTTAAGGCTTTCACGATTAGTGCTAATATTTAAAGTACAGATTTATCTTTCACTTCTTTAACCTGAGCTAGGAAACTTTTAATATGCCTTTGTTCCCCTAGGCGCGCCCTCATGTTCATTTCGGTTCTTACTGGATCTGAGGCCTCTACGGATGGAACCGTTACTCTTATACGTTCCGAAGTGGCATCTGCAACTGGTCGCATCCAATGCTTCCAAACGTTTCGCCGTTCTTCACTGTCGACATATTTAATGGTATCTCTGTAAACGCCTCTTCAGTCGCGGTGAAGTGTTCCCTCAAATTGCGTAGTATGCGCCAGTGCTTCGTTAATTTTCTTTCATATACCTGTCTAATCTGTTTCACAGTCTCGAATACCATTAATACAGTCTTGCGGGGCTGTTGGATATGACAAGTGAACAAAATGGTCTACATCGGAGTCATACTGCTGTACACTTTCATTCTTTGAATCCTACCGTTTAGCTGTGTTTGCCAGACCTGCTGTGTTTGTCATTTTTATGTCGCACTAGGTCGTCATAACTATGATATTTGTAAAAGACCTCACCTCTCAAATATACTACATAATAAGGTTGTAACTTTTTCACTCTCAGTCCACTACTTCGCTGTGGCATCGAACTGTTTTATGTAAGTTTGTCAGGAAGATACTTAATGAGCTGAACTGAATTTTAGCTGAACCTTGATGAAATTGTCCAATTTTGACAGCTTCTATCATGGAGTCATTTTAACATTTTCAAGTTCTTTGCTCGTATCTTCTATTTCTTCTTTAAAATTGTAATTTCTTCCACAGTTTTCTTGATGTTATCGCATTGGTGATCTATTTCTACCTTGATATTATTCATTCCGCTTGTTTATCTAATTGTTTCTTCATGTCGTCTTTCATTCCCTCTGACTTCTCACTTCACTTTTGAGTTCGTTTTTCATATTCCCCACGTCAGATGAAGATCTGCACCCAGTGCCGTATCTTCATATCAGATCTTAATGCGTCTTGTCCTGTCTACAGTAGCTATATGCAAGACAGTGGCGACAATAGCGACTAAACCCCGCCCATCCGCCATGTTGCATCCAATGTCAAATTGAAAGTAACCTTTTTCCACGGTCGGGAGTAGAAATCAGTTTCTATGACATCAAAATTAAAACAGAAGTAGTCGATTATTCCCAAGGGAGTATAATGCTCCCAAGGGAGTTTACATTATGGAGAACGTTTTTCATGCAAAAAAAAGATAACATTGAAATTATTTATTGACATTTAAATTAAATGTTACATTTGTACAATTTTCAAAATTAATATTAGAAGGAATATTACTTTCGCTTACATTTACAGTTTTTGTGATTGCGCTAGTAGTGGTACCTACTAAAACCTGATTAGCAATTTTGGTCTTATTTTCAATGGAGTTCTCGACATAACCCTCAGCGACTGTCGTTGATTTCCAACCAGCATGACG